CCATTGCCCTCACTTTTCAAGCTTCTGCCTTAAGATCAGGATTTGGTACTTTATGTTAAGAGAATTCATGAGTGCACTTCTTTCTATTTAGGCGTTCTCAATGTGCCTGTCTCTGTGATATCTAAGCACCTTTTATGTAGAAGATATAGTATTTGGGCCTGATCCAAAGCCCACTGAAGTCACTGGAAACACTCACATTGCAACGAGCTTTAGCTCAGGCACAACATAGTAAGGAACTTAGTGGTCTTATTAATTGCACCCAAAATACCTGAGATCAGCATATATACTAAATTAGGAAATGAGTCAGGTAATTCTTTAAATTTGTCTCTATAACTCCAGATTTTGTCATTTCCTTCTGGGGTAGAATTTCTCCCTCTTAAGTCAAGCATGGCTATTGGTACACTGTAGCTAACTGTCACCATTCAGTATGAGGTGTGTTTGTGGTACTTTGCCATTTTCTAAGACTTATTCTTTTTTGCAACTGTAAAAGGCACAGAAAGCAATTTAAGCAAAGCTGAGGCAAGACTGAATTTATCTGAGAGCGAGGGGGGAACCCGTAGTTCTAATGTGGAGAGTCTTTTTGAATATGTCAGACCCAATATTTTAAAACCAATCTTCCCAGAATAATTTAGGGACCATGTTTTTGCTATCTGAATTCTGGCCAGTGAGAAAGAAGGCAGTTGTTGCCATCTAGATATCATTGGCTGTTTGTTTTATAACCTTACTGTAGATGGTTACTTAACCTAAATCGGATTATAATTTAGTTGCAATGTATGTATACCAGGCCAAATGCTAACATTCTTGCTGAAAGTCAAAAGGAGTTCAGACTGAAAAAAAACTGAGTAAAGATTTCAAGATTGGTCCCCTCTTTACCTTACCTGGATATTCTCCAGCTGATCCTATATCCTTCAGGTTTATCATATTGTTGATTTATTTCTAATATAGGTGGTTTTGAAGTCATAGGGATTTTAATCCTAAAAGGAACATCACTTGTACACAGTATGTTATTTTGAAATTGATATGGCCAGAAATCCTAAATTTGTGAAGAAAAAGAGGTTAGAAGGCTTTGTTTTTTCCTGGTTCTCCCCTATGCATGGCTAGCAGCACTGGAAGTTAGGCAGAAGGGCTGCACAGCACATAGAAGTCTCCGGGAGGAATTCTGTCTCCCAGGCAGTGCTCCTACTACATCACCTTGAAGAGGATATAGCATACTTCAGACCCATGACCCTATGCTCACCCTTTTTTAGGCATCGAGCACTGAGGTTTGGGCTGAAGTGCATTGGGAAAAGGGAATCTCTTTGTACTCTTCCGCATCTTGTTCACCCAGAGAAGCTGGCCAGAATCTGGCCCTAACTGACAAAGGATGAGATGACAAAATCTGTTATAACAAGGGGAGGTATAAGTTACATAATGCAGTATTGCAACCAGTATGATAAAGATCCTGGCAGCCCGAGATCCAAACTTCTTGAATACCATAAAAATATGACTATTCAACTCAGTGTGATTTTTATTTTATTTTTTTTACTGTCTAAGGATATACAGTATATGGTTAATTCAGAAAATATTATCAGTCTTTATATGCTTCAGACCAACTGAGTTTGATAAACTTCATGGAAAATACAATGTATAATACACTAAGAGTAGAACTAAGCAAATAACTGGATGCTTCCACGTTCTAATGCAAAATAAATAAAGCTATGGAAGGATTATCACCAGACCGGTTGCTAGTTAAAGACAGATTTCCAGCAGTCCTTTATGGACTTACAGAAAAGAAACTGTTTCAGTGCTAGTCCAGCTATACTCAAAGTAATGTGATGTGATATAGGCAGTAACCAAGGGGTATGAGAAAATCCCTGATTATGTTGGTCTTAACAAAGGAAAAAGCAAGGATTTATTATGGGGAATTACCATCCAATATTGCTTCTAAATATGGATGGCAAGATTGCAGCAAAAATCTTCTCATTGGAATCAACATATTTCCACAATTTGTCATGGAAACTCAGCAGATTTTATGAAGGGAAAGTTAGTAGCAGAAAATGCCAGGACAATAATGAATCTAATGCATTAGGCACAATTATCTGAATGTCCCACAGTCTGACCTATTTTAGATGCACTTACATTTTGGACAATGTTCTTAGAAATCACTTCCCCTCTCCACCCCCCCCACCCACCCCCGCAATTGCAAATAGCTCTCTCAGCTCTTTCTTGCTATGCCCATACAGTACATCATTCAGGAAACAAGGTTTTGCTGGATTTGCACACCAAAAAAATGTATACGTTTGGCTTTTTCAATATGAACTGTTGGCTATGGCAAAAATTGCTTTTTGCATCACTAATCCTATCCCACAACAAAAAGAAAATCTACACTGCCTAGAATTTATCTACATAATAGTCCAAGAGAGAATTAAAATTATATATATATATATACACACACCTTACGGAAAAAGAAGAGAACATCAAGTACTGTTCTGCCACTCCCAGATCAGATCCTAATGTTTCCTGTGTCCCATGTCACTATTTCAGCAAGTGGTCTACAAGTACAGATTTATAATTAGTTGTATTAAAGCTCCCAGCAGCTACTGTTTTACTTTTACCTTCTAATTTTTGAAGTAAGTGTGTAAATGTTTAAGGATAGATTTTGCAAGAGTTCATGTTATGAGCCTAAGTAAGAATCCAGGTGTGTAAATCAATATGCACAGAAATTTAGAATTTTCCAAAAATGAAACCGAAAGACCTAGTTCAACTGAAAATTATAATATATAATGGATCCAGTTAACAGTATGACTTGCAATTGCTAGAGCTGGATGCTACTGGGACTAGATCTGGATATTCCTTGTTATTCAGAGCTGATGGTTAAGGCCCTGATTCAGCAAAGCACTAAGCACATGCTTAACTTTAAGCATATACTCAGTCCCATTCCTATTCACCAAAGTAATTAAGCACATACCATTAAAGTCTATGAGACTTAAATATGTGCTAAAAAGTTAAGCTCATGCTTAAGTGATTTGCTGAATCAGGGCCTTAATCTGGGTCTATATAGATAAAGTCTCAGATTAATGCGAGGGCTTGTGTTCAAGGCCTCTGTGTCTACAATGTGTTTGCTATGCATCACCTCAGTGACAAATACAGAAAAAATAACTAAGCATGTGCAAATGTAGCTCAGATCCAGTTTTTAGACTGGAAGCTCTTTGGGAAAGGGATTCTGACTACCTCTATATTTGTATAGCCCATTTCGCAATAAGGCCCTGACCATGACTGAGATCTCTAAGTGCTACCATAATTAACAATAATTCGTAAAGTCAAAACCAATTGTCGTAAGTCGAATCAGGGTGTCAATGTCGTAAGTGCTGTTCATCGTAGGTCGAACATCGTAAAGTCTCGGACTGCCTATAATAACAACATTGATAGTCAGTCAGTCACACTAACTTAGACCTGCAAATCTGGGGACTTACATTTGCTGCGCACTTTTATGTTCTAAGTACACCTCTACCCCGATATAACGCTGTCCTCGGGAGCCAAAAAATCTTACCACATCGTAGGTGAAACCGCGTTATATCGAACTTGCTTTGATCCACCGGAGTGTGAAGCCCCGCCCCCCTGGAGCGCTGCTTTACCATGTTATATCCGAATTCGTGTTATATCGGGTCGCGTTATATCGGGGTAGAGTTGTATATTGAAAATACATTTGCCTGATAAATATATGGTTGTGTCTCTAGGCCTATATCATGAGCTTTGCAGTTCATGTGCAGCTCAGGCACATCTCTTTGTGAAATAAACCCAAAGAGCTGAGCTTAATTTAAACAAACAAAAAACAAAAAAACATGTTCCGCAGCTGCCAGTTTGTAGGCTGTAGCTCTTTGACTCCACAGCTGTGGAGCCAGGGCTGGATTAAGGCAGAAACTAACTAAGCTACAGTTTAGGGCCTTACAATACGAGGTGCCTCTAAAAAAGAAAAAACTGACTCCATTTCCAATTTTATCAAAATCGGTTGATAAATAAAGAAGATATGGGGAAAAAAAGATTCTCTCTAAATATAGACATTTTCGTTCAAATATGGCAAAGATATACATATCTGGCTATACAAATACCCTTGCCCTACCCTTACCCTTCACTAATTGTTCATTATTGACAGGCAGGAGGCCAGGGCTGAGAAAAAGACGATAATTGCACTTGTAAAAATAGTATTTCTAGGAGTAAGTCTGCTATCAGTCTCCTAAGGCAGCGTTTTGTTGGCCAGCTGCTACTGGTAAAATTCTGACCGTGCTGTCCTGATTTTATTGGTTTTTATATATATAAAAATAAAAATGAACAATCTCAGTGCCAATAAAATCAGGAAAAATGTGAGGTGGAGACTGCAGTGTCGTGAAGCAATCCTGCCAAACTCATATTCATATGGGACTCATCCTAGGAGTGACGTCATGTACAGTGTCCCCATTGGCTAGTAATAGCAGGAAGGCCGCCATCTTTTGTTCACAGTCCAGCACACTCAGTCGCATAGTGCCTTCGCTCCTGTTTTTCTTTGTTTTCTTAAGTATCAGTGTGTTCTTTCTTCTTTTGATCTGTACATATGTACAGTTGTGTATTTTAGTGCACACGCCACTTTCTGCTTCATTCGCTATCCATGCTTCACATGATTGAGTTTGCAGGTGATCGTCTTATGGACTTGGGTCGAGTGGAACTTGAGGAGGATACATTTGTTTTGGCTTCCCTTCGTCAGTTTTGGGAACCTTCACAGTAAATATCAAAGAGTGCTGATGAAAGGATAAACAGAGGGTTTTGAGAGAAGTGAAGGAAGATATACACATATATCAAAATATTCTGAGTACTCGATGAGCAAGTTATTTCAGACTATGTGCATATAATTTATAGGCTATTAAAGCCTGTAATATTCATTATATTTGCCTGAATAGAAGCTAATTTTTCCTCACTTTCTCAATGCTTGTCTAGAGATTACCAATCTTTTTTTTGGTAAATTATTTCTCTCTCTTTCGCGCATATAGCTTGTTGTCACTCTGTGTGTCCAAGATGTTTACTCAAGATTAATTAGTGGTCCTGGGAGAGACAGAGGACAGAGAAGCGAACTCTAAGAGAAATGTCTGCCTAGAAAATGCTGCAAGAAAAGCTATCTGCCCTAAGCATTGTGCATCGAAAGTGACAAACTCCATAGCTTATCATTTAAGAACATCAATGAATTTGCTCTCCAAAAAAATCATGATAGAAAATGTTCTAAATTGTATTAATGTATTAAATGTATTAAAATTAATGTGATATGCAAACAGACATACTGCAGCTTGTACTGCTTCCATTAAGTAAGCTTGTCTATGTAACTGTAACTGCTTTTGTGTAGCTTTAGATATAAACTTTTCATATCTACTAATTAAGAAATCATAGATGAAAATATGTTAATTTGAAACTATTTTATAATGCAAACAGGCATATTGCAAGACATGTTTTAGTTGGATTATTATTCTATTTTTATAACTTTGCCTTTGTATATATGCAAATATAAAGTTTTCGTGTTTATATATTCAATGTCCTTTCTGTGAAAATATTTTTTTTTAAATTATGGTATGGGGCCTCTTACACTTGACAGAGTTTAGGGCTTCAGAATGTCATAATCCAGCCCTGTGTGGAGCATATGCCTTTCACAGAAGACTAAATTGTTTTGTCAGCCATAGAATATGCCTTTGCAAACACTCTTAAGAGCAATAAAGTGTTTATTTATTGGCCTTTTTTATGGATCTGAGGCTGCCCAGGACTTTATGATCTTCACTATACTTAATTCCAGGACTGCTCAGGACTTCACTATTATGACTAGAGATACAACTCAGCTCTTTCCTCTCCAAAGGCCTGATCCAAAGCCCACTGAAGTCAGTGCTGTCACTTGATAGCGCCTATCACCTGGGATAAAGGAGAATCACTTTTAGATTTAGCAATATTTTCTTTTTTATTATATTTTACTTTAAAGACTTATGGGTAAAATCCTGATCTCAGCATACAAGTTGTCATAACTATAAAGGGAAGGGTAACAGCTGTCCTGTGTACAGTACTATAAAATCCCTCCTGGCCAGAGACTCCAAAATCCTTTTCCCTGTAAAGGGTTAAGAAGCTCAGGTAACCTGGCTGGCATCTGACCTAAAGGACCAATAAGGGGACAAGATACTTTCAAATC